ATTATTATTATTGTTATTATTATTGTTATTATTATTATTATTATTATTAGTATTATTATTGTTGTGCTGCGGCACAACACCCAATGAGGGGACATGGACTTAAGCGTCCGCACAGGCAGCTTCCGAGGAGGTGGCGCATATACAGCGAAGGTGCGACGTTTGATAATTGGAGGTATGCAGGTCAATATCGAGCGGCCTGGCAAAGATATGTTGATTGCCCGGGAGCGTCTCAGCAATATTGCTAGCATGCATTACCTATTTGGGCGGTCATGGTATTCTTTGTGTTGTAAATTATCAGCACCTAACTTCAAAAACGTCAACTGAAAAACTCAAAAAATTCAAAACATCACATTCAGGTGGATATGCCAAGTTTAAAAAGAAATCAAACAGCAGAATCCGGACACCTTAAATTAAGGAATCACTTATTGTGGAAAGAAGTGGATTTAGAAATTAGATAAAACTGGAAAGGAAAGATACTGTGGTTAAAAGCGAGAAATTTGCACTTAGGTGCATGGATCGACGAAAGAAAGAGAAGCAAATGGAGAGGAACTACGGGGCTTTATCAGTCCTGGAATTCTCTACCATTTTAATTTGGTAATTTCGTGCTCTTTGAAAAACTTCTAGCGCCTTTCCTTCCTAGGGCTCACCGCGGATTCGTCTGTAGCAACTGCCATATTTTCAAGAAAAGTTTTTTTTAGAAAAATTTTGAATAGAGGAAAATAAGTCAAACCTCAATATCCCTGATTTTCTCCATTTCAGTAAGCGAATTCATCAGCTGCTCGTGCAGAGCTTCAAACTGTTCCAGTAGTGCTGTCTTATCTTCACTCATGCACTGCAAAAATAAACAACTATCAAGGATTTTGTCCCTTCCGAGAAACACACACTGCAAAAATAAACGAAAATACACGCTGCAAAAAAAAACAACTTTCAAGGATTTTTTCCCCTCCGAGGATTTTGCCCTTTCCTAACTTTAGTGTCCGTACTTACAGAGCCAAATCCAGCAAATAACATTTTTCCGTAGGCGTTCTTTTGTAAATGGGAATTGCATTCCCATTTCTTTTAAAACTATTATCCTACAGTTATCAAAAATGTTAT